ACTCTTCCCTGAGGCCCGAGGCCAAGGAGCCTGGGAACAGGCAAGGGAGCCTGGGAAATGTAGTTCCTCGGCACCCAGCGTGGGGACAGGTGAAAGGGAAGACAGACGTGTGAGCAAATAGTCGGGTAACAAGTATGCTCCTGTGATTCCTCCCTAAACCTCTGGCATCAGCTGTAGACATCCGCTGTAGATTTGTCTGATAGTATTAAGCTGAATGAACGAATGCCAAATGAATATTAATAGGGGAAAAAGAAAAACAACTCAGAAGCAGCCACTTACGTTTGTTTTGTTTTTCCTGGGTAAGTGCTTGGGGTTGCAAGCTTTAAATTGTGCTTTAGAGCACGTGAGCTTAATTAAATTTAACATGTTGGAGCAACTGAACTTAAAATAGCAATTCATGTTTTCTGCAGAGATGTCGCCTGTGTATGTGATAGAAAAACCTATCAGGATTTCAGGGATGTGTCTTTCACAAGGAGGGCTGTGACCCAGTGGTTGTGCCAGATGTTGCCCATTGCCTCCCCAGATCCCCTCCTCTGTGCTGCTGTGTGCCCTGGAAGGCTGACCAGTGTGCCACCCGGAACCCCGGCTTTCGGTGGGGTTCAGCCACGGGGAGCAACAGCAGAAGATTGAGAGGAGGGAAGAGAGTGAGGTCAGGGTCTGGTGACCTCCCCTGGTATGCTCAGGGCTAGATTGGGGAACAGCGTGGCTGCTACCAGCCCTGGGTTATGGCATGTTCCCTACGGTCCCCCATCCCCGAATCTACCCCTTTAGAACAAAGTCCTTTGTAAGCAAAGGCTTTAATCACCCCTCTGTGAGTATGCCTTCCGCCCCTATTGGGCCCAGCTGATTCCGAGGTGTTTTCCTAAAGATTGTGGGCAAAGTGCGTGGGTGGAGGGACAAGAAGGTGATGGGCAGCCTGGTTTGGGAGCCCCGCTCGGGAGCTTGGACTGACTCTTGTAGGTCACGGAGAGCCCCTGAGCAATGTTTCATTGGGCGAGGGGCGTGGCCAGAGTTGTTTCAGATGGTGCGCTCTGGGGTTGGTGGTGCTGAGCATGGATATGAAGGGAGCCCAGGCAGAGGCAGGGAGGCCTATTTGGAGGCTTCTGCGCTCCTCCACACCAAAGATGGCAAGGCCTAAGCAAAAGTATGAGTGTGGAGATGGAAGGCAGCGAGAAGTCCAGAAGGTGGAACGTGGAACGTGGATAGGAGTAAAGTGGGGCCCCGGGCTCTCCAGATCTAGCCTGGAGGATCAGCAGCTGGTTGTGCTGGGGAGCATGAGCAGGTAGACAGGGCCATGCGGGCAGGGATGAGTTTGGTTCTGTCACTAGAGTTTGAATAGAGCCCATTTCACATGACTTTCTCGTGCAGTTTGTCCTTTTGGTTGCCCGGGGTGGGAAGCAGCCTTGCTTATGCCTAGAAGTGTGGGCTCTGAATCCCTGCGGATCCAGATCTGGTCTCAGCTCCCCCACTCCCCCGAGGGAAAGTGACAACTGCTTAGCTTCCTCCTTCCCTAAATGGGAATGATGATAATGACTTCCTCCAGGGGTTGTCAGGGGGTAAAGTGAGATAATGTGCAAAACTTCCAGGCACAAGATTAGTACTCACGCTGGTTATTATTGTTTTTGCTCAAGGTGGACTTGATTGTCAAGGCTGTTTGTAGCCAGCTGGCTCTGGCTCGCCCATGAGTACACACACACACACACACACACACACACACACACGCCCAGGAACCCGGAGCTACTTCCCTGCTCTTAATCCTGGGAAGAAGGCCCTTTCCTCTGGCCATGTTTCTGACGCGCCAGTTATAGCGGGAAGCTTCTCCCAGCCCGCCCTCTCTCACCCCTGCTGCCAAGGACCAGCCCGCCCTGTTATACCTGCATCAGCAGTGCGGCCCACTGTGGCTTCATCATATTCTGAGCTGCCCGGACTTGGGAAGCAAAGGGGAGAGAGGCCAGGCAGGGTCTTGCACAGAGTCACCCCGAGGCCTCAGGAAAACAAGATAGTGTCTGAGAGCCGGGGTGGCACAACGGTCGCCTGAGGCCAGACTGCCCAGTTCAGATCCCAGCTCTGTCAATTACTAACTAGCTGGGAGTCCCTGGGCAGCCAGCTTAACCTTTCTGTGCCTCTGGTTCTTATCTGTAAAATGGAGATGATGATTACTATTATGAGTGTTCATCCCGTTGAAGATCTCCGAACAGTGCCTGGCACACAGGAAGCCCTCACTCGACCTTAGCCCCTCTTCTTCTTTATTTATTTTTTTTCTTTTTTAAGATTTTATTTATTTGCGAGAGAGAGAATGAGAGACAGAGAGCATGAGAGGGAGGAGGGTTAGAGGGAGAAGCAGACTCCCTGCCAAGGAAGGAGCCTGATGCGGGACTCGATTCCGGGACTCCAGGATCATGACCTGAGCCGAAGGCAGTCGCTTAACCAACTGAGCCACCCAGGCGCCCACTTCTTCTTTATTCTTAATTAGCAGTAGCGGCAGTGTCTGCTTTCCAGACGACAGCTAAACATGGATAAAAGTTCTGGGCTCGTGGTCCATCCCCTGCGTCCTAGGATTGCTGCAAAGGTTAAGCGCAACACCGGATGTGAAAACCCCATCCCAGAACAGGTGTTCAGTAGGCAAGCTGGCCCATCCCCTCCTCCAATGGATGTGCTCTGACATTGCACACGCCCCAGCGGGGTACTGGGGGGCAGTGGTCTGGGGTCAAAGCCCAGCTGTGTATCTTTGCTTCTTAGCTCTGCCTCCCCAGCTGCAACTAAGGATCATGGTAGGGGCTGCCTCAGAGAGTTGCTACAGGACCAAGTGAACTGATAGCCATAGGGCCCTGAAAATGGGGCCTGGCACACAGGTGACCCTTGGGGTTTGCTCCTACTGTCGTCACTGTTCTGGCTGTGGATTGCTCCTGCCTCTCCAACTTCTCTCGTCAGCTCTGAGGGGGAATGAAGTGGGCTCTGCCCAGTGGGTGGCCCAGCAGGCCAGAGGTCCTGCTGGTGGCGGCGTGTGAGCCATGGTGGGCTCAGAGCACTGCTCTAGGGAAGGGGTGGCTGACAGGCCACAGGCTGGGACAAGCTTTTCAGTGAGATGAGGAAAATGCCCCGTGTTTGTTACATGGTAAGGAGCAAACCCAGACTACGGATCTAGAAACCAGTGTTAAAGTCCAGTGGCCCATCTTAGCAGTCCCAGCTGTGTGACTTCAGGAAATCACTTAACCTCTCTGAATCTTGGCCATTCCTCTTCTGTGCCATGAGAGCACTAGTCCCTACGCTCTCAGGATTGCCACGATGCCCAGGTGAAACAGATAGACCTAAGGGGCTGGCCTACAGGCCCTTGCGGACCCCCCACAACGCCCCCCACCCGGCCCTGGCCCCACCTCCCCACCTCTCTTAGCTGTGGGCTGGGGGTGGGGCCAGGGACCAAAGTTTCCTCCACTGTGGCTTCCCCCTCCACAGAGCAGGCTGGGAACGTGAGGAGGGAGGCAATGGCCTCTTGCGCTGCCCACTGACGGGACGTCAATAAATGCTTGTCAGCTCCAATCCTGTGTGAGGGAGTTCCCGGGTGGAAGTTTGCAGGCTCCGGTACTTCATATTTGAGATCTCAATTAAGCTGCCTGGCTCTGGGTTTGCGGGGTTGAGGGGTGCTAATGGAGCCCTTGAGTAGTAGGGGACTGCAGAACGGAGGGCCCTTCGGGAGGAGGGGCGGTGGGAAAGGCTCAGAGGGACATGGCCCCTCCAGGACGAGGTGACTATCTTTGCAGGAGTGTTTATGGGGTGACACGGGCATTGTCTCTGGAGATACCACAAGGCACCATACCTGGACGGGGCTTTAGAGATCAGGGTGTGTGCCCAGGCTTCCTGAGGGTCCCAGCGAGAAAGGCCCTGGACAGTAGATGGGCCCCAGCGTGGGAGACTGCAGCCCCACTAGACCCTGCCCTAAGGTGGAGGGACCAGTCAAGGCCTCCCCGAGCAGAGACTCTCTTTCCCCAGGCCTCTCTGGGTGAGGCTGGCCTGCTATGCCCGCGAGGGAGGAATCATCCTTTCTCTCTGGGAAGCAGAATCGCCCTCCAGTCTTCAACATTGCACTGTCCGCCTCCCCTCCCCGCCTCTAGCTGTCTTCTGCTTAGACCCCTCCAGCCCAGTTTGCCGCAGCAAACATTCTCCTGCCAGGCCTGAGAAAGCCATTTGCAGAGAAGGATGGCGTGGGCTCCGAGGGCAGAGCCTTGACTGTGACTCCCCACAGTGCAGGCTCCTGGCAGGGGCTCAGGCAATGTCCATGAATCTCCAGGACACAGCAGGGGTGGATGGAGTCTGGGGTGTCTGAAGCGGGGGCCCTGGCAGGCCCGGCTCCCACCACCTCCCAGAGTCTGAGGGAGACAGGGCGGGAATCAGGCTGGGGGTCCGTTTGTCTAGACTGGGCTTCTGCAGGCTTTAACCTCTCTGCCTCTCCGTGTCTCTCCCTCTGCCCCTCCTGTCGTCCTTCTCCCATCTCTGCCCGAGGCGCTCCCCTTCTTCTGTGTACCTCCTTCTCCCTACCTGCTCTCCACTCTCCCCCCCTTGTTCCCTTCATCATCACATTCCTGATGTCTGTTTTTGCCTCTTTGGGGCCCTTGGGCACCTGGTCTGCATGTGCATCTCTCACTGACCCTCCCACCCCTGAATCTCTCTCGCTGCCCTTTTCACCCCCACCTGTCCTTCTCTGGCTTCTTACCTGGGCCCCTCTCCTCCCACCTCTGGGACTCCTTCACCACCTCCCACGCCCTGTTCGTGTCCCCTGCCGTCCCTTCGTCCCTTCGCTTCCTCCTCCTCTCTCGCCACCCCTCCTGTCTCCTTGGTTCCTTTTCCCATCTCTTCGCCTGCCCCTCTCTCTCCTGCTCCACCTCATTCCCTCTGTGTCCATGTGTCTGTCTCCCTACTGCCAACCTCTCCTGTCTCTGTCACTCTCTGTCTTTCTGTCTCTGCTGACCCTCACCATCTTCCCCCTCTGCATCCCCCCACCCCAGGATGATCCCAGCCTCCAACAAGGCCTTCGTGGTCAACAACCTGGTGTCAGGAACCGGCTACGACCTGTGTGTGCTGGCCATGTGGGACGACACGGCCACGACGCTCACGGCCACCAACATTGTGGGCTGTGCCCAGTTCTTCACCAAGGCTGACTATCCCCAGTGCCAGTCAATGCACAGCCAGATCCTGGGCGGCACCATGATCCTGGTCATCGGCGGCATCATCGTGGCCACGCTGCTGGTCTTCATCGTCATCCTCATGGTGCGCTACAAGGTCTGCAACCAGGAGGCCCCGGGCAAGCTGGCGGCCACTGCGGTCAGCAACGTGCACTCGCAGACCAACGGGGCCCCGCCACCCACTCTGGCCAGTGCACCCAGCGCAGCCCCCATGCAGGGGCCACCCAAGGTGGTGGTGCGCAGTGAACTTGTGCAGTTCAGTGCCAACCTGGCTCGGGGCAGCGACTCCTCTTCCTCCAGCTCCCTGGGCAGCGGGGAAGCCGCAGGGCTGGGACGGGGCCCCTGGCGGCTCCCACCCCCTGCCCCCCGCCCCAAGCCTAACCTTGACCGCCTGATGGGGGCCTTTGCCTCCCTGGACCTCAAGAGTCAGAGAAAGGAGGAGCTGCTGGACTCCAGGACTCCAGGCGGGAAAGGGTCTGGGACATCGGCCAGGGGCCACCACTCGGACCGAGAGCCACTGCTGGGGCCTCCTGCCGCCCGGGCCAGGAGCCTGCTCCCCTTGCCCCTGGAGGGCAAGGCCAAGCGCAGCCATTCCTTCGACATGGGGGACTTTGCTGCTGCAGCTGCGGCAGCCGGAGGGGTCGCCCCTGGTGGCTACAGCCCCCCGCGGAGGGTCTCGAACATCTGGACAAAGCGCAGCCTCTCTGTCAACGGCATGCTCTTGCCCTTTGAGGAGAGTGACCTGGTGGTGGCCCGGGGAACTTTTGGCAGTTCCGAGTGGGTGATGGAGAGCACGGTGTAGGCCGGGGGGGCCCTCCTGCCGCTCACCCTTGCAGGGTAGATGAAGGGGAAAGAATCTGTACTGGCAAGTCTTTGTGGAGTTTCCATGGTGATGTTTACATCTAGGGACAGTTTCGTCTCCCTGTCAACGCCCCTCCCAAGCCACACCACCTTCCAAGCCTGTCCCCCACCACCCAGCCGGGGTGTGCTCAGGGAAAGCGGATTCGATCGCTAAAATGTCGGACTGAGCCCTGAGTGTTTGGAAAGGCGGACTCCCTCCTTTCTGATCACGAATGTAGCGTGTAAGCAAGTGGCTTTGGATTGCTTATGGTTCCAGCGTTGTTTTTATTTCTTAATTTATGTTTCCCACTTCCCAGACTCCTCCTCTTCATTCACACAGATGATGGAGAATTTACTCTTCATGTGAGAGTGGGTTCCCAGCAGTCCTGATAGTGGGAGATTATGGTCCGTTGACAAGAGAAGGGAAAGATTCTGGTTCCACACTTGTTTGGAGGGAAGACTGAGGCATCCCCTGTCCAGACTCCTCCTTATTCCCAACTGTCCCCGTGCTTGGGAGGGATGGGCAGCCACCAGCATACCTGACCCAGCTTCCTCTGCTCAGACATCATGCCCCACACCCATCACAGTAGCCTAAACCAGAAGAGTAACTTCCAGAACTTCTTATGTGTGGGAAAGGCAGAAGGGCTTTATGAGGCACAAGGGCATAAAGGGTGTTAACTTTTGGAGTTGCTGTAGGATTTTTACCTCTTTGGGGGAGGAACCTGGGACTGAAAGTCCGCATAAGCATGTGGCTGGCCAAGAGGGCTTCTCTTGACGAAGCAGAGCGGGGTGGCTAAAGGAGCACTGGACTTGGAGTCCAAAGCTCTCAGTTTGGGTTCCAGAGCCACCACTGAATAACCAGCTGAACACGTTGGGCAAGACCCTTTTTCTCTTTGGATCTCAGTCTTTTAATTCTCACACTACTGGATTGTACCCAGTCTTTGATTTCCTTCAAGTTCTAAGGACTAACGAACTCTTCCATGCCTCTAGATATTATGGTCTCCAGATCAGCAGTACCAGCAGCACAAGCAGGTAGAGCGTCCCTTTTCTTCCTACTGGACACAGAGGGAGAATTCTAGAGGTTTGGGAGGGGGAAATTGGAATCTTTTTAGAATGGTAGAGTTTTGAAGTTTGAAGAGGTGTTTGCAATCATCTCATCCTTAACCCTCTCTCCCTCCCCCACCTGCCCCAGAGTATAAAGGACTTGCTCAAGGTCGCACAGTGAGTTAGTGACCAAGTCAGGGCAGGTGCCAAGGTCATCTCCTGGGATGGTGTTTGGGATTCACTATGCTGTCTTCACCCTGGCTCAGGCATTTCTGTGTCCAAAGTCCATCCCTTGTTTGTTCCTGAGGAAGGTGGCTCAGGGTGGGACATGGGGGATGCCTTTCCTAGATGCCAGCTTTGAGGAGGATCCATCCATGGAAATGACAGAGGGCAATGGGAGGGGTGCACATGGGTTCCTTTCTACCAGGGGATGAACCCCCATATTCCAGACCATGTCAAGAGGGGGCAGAGGACATGTGGCCAGGAAGAAACTGTTTTAGAAGCATCTGGAGGACTTTCCCCTGCATCTCTCTGTCTCTCCTGGTCTCCGTCTCTTCTAGATCTCCTCACTGCCAACATACTACCTCTCCCTCGGTCTCCCCAACCCATTCATTGCTCTTCTGAGTCTCTGCCATTGATCTCTAGCTTCTCTCCTGTTCTTTTCCCTCCTTCCACTTGCCAACCACACCACACACAATGTCCAGGTGAGTCCACTTCTGCTGAAGGGTTCTGATGGGCTCAGACCTGGAGCTGAGCTGGCGGCCCGCAACCCCACCCAGAACACACAAGGAGCTGGTAGGGAACTGTCTATGCAGGATTGCCTTCTGGCTCTAGCCCCGGAGCCTCCAAATCCCTCTTCTTTGCCCTTCTCCCTCCCACCCCTCCTGCCTCCTCTCACCTTCCCTCCACTCTCTTGTCTTCATTCTTGTTCTTCCTGTTGACCCTCTGCCTTGCCCCATCCCTTTCTGGTCCTGACAGTCATTAGCAGCCCAGGCTGTTCTCTTCCTAAGACATGTTAATTTTCTAGGCGAGTCCCAGGGCCATAGCACAGGCCTTCCCCAGTCATGGTGGCAGCCATGGAATTGGGTGACTTGAACGGAAATCTCTCCCTCCCTCTCTCCCTCCCTCTTGCCCTGCCCGAGTTTCTCTTCTCTCCTTTTCCTCCCTTCACCTTTCTCCTTTAGTCTTTCTAAATGTAGCCATTGAGGAAGTGACCCCAAATACCACCTTTCTTTTTGCCTTTGGGTTAGGACACCCAGAAGGAAATGGTGGACACGAAGGGGAGGACTGAACTGTATATTCCGGTCAGTGGCCCCGAGGTCTGTCATGACATGATATGTACTTGCACTTGTGTTTGTCATGTTTCTGACTGGGAGTTTTGGAAAGCTACATCTGTGTGGTCAGAATATAAATGCCAACTTTTTTTGCTAAAAAAGAAATGTACAGTAAAATGTACAGTTTAAAAAACAGAACCAACCACACTTCTTGGGAGAGAGAAAAAAAGAACATTCTCATATCTGTGAATGTCTGCTGTTCATTTCTCTGGAAACTACGGTTTTCCGAAGGTGGCTTTGAAGTGGCATTTTCTCTTGCACTTGTGTTTGTTACTGCCCAGTGGGAGCCTGCTTCCTGCCAAGTTCATGTATAAGATGGGAGCCTTCTGAAATAAGAGAGAATGGGGTCGTCCTTCTGGAATAAAGGACAGTAGAGGGATCTGGAGTGAAGCTCCAGGCGAAGAAGGAATGGTCCATCCTCAGCTGCCCTGACTGTCCCACCTGATACCTCATAGACCTGCCCTGCCTCCTTTTTCCAGTACTGTGGCCACCACCACACTTAGCCACTAGGGGCGCACGGACATCTCCCACCCATCCTGGTTGAGCCTTGGACGACACTTTTTCAAAAGGCTCTTTTACTGGGAGAACTGGGACAATGAACCAAAGCATAAGCCCAAGGTATAGAAATGAATAAACTTCTCTGGAAACAGCTTCCAACCCTAGCTACATCTAGTGGCTAGATTAGCACTGTCCAATTGGAATAAAGGGTGACCTACACGGTCATTTAAAATTTTCCAGTAGCTGCATTGAATCAAGTAAAAAGAAACAGGTGGAATTAATTTTAATAATATATTTTATCTAATCCAATATAGCCGAAAGATTATTATTTTAATGTGTAATCACCATAAAATTATTAATAAGACATTTTAGTTTGGGGTTGGTGGGGGGAGCTCCCCCCCCCCGCAAAGTTTTGGAAATTGAGCGTGTGCTTTACACTCAGGGCACATCTCAATCCAGACTAGCCACGTTTAAAGTGCTTGAGAGCCACATGTGGCTAGTGCTGGTCACCATATGGGACAGTGCAACTCTAGACGGAGAGTGATTGACTTGCCAGCGCACCTTTTGGAAGGGGAAGGAGCTAACAGTTATTGAGCACCTACAGTTTCCAGGTCCTGTGCTGCTACTTAACAGGCATTTCTCACAACAGCTATCTGGACCTGGAGCTGAGCTGGCAGCCCCCAACCCCACCCAGAACACACAAGGAGCTACCCTACTATCTCAAAGTAGATATTATTATGCTGATTTTACAGATGAAGGGCCTGAGGCCCAAGAGGGGTTAAGTAACTTGCCCAAGGTCACACAATATGTCTGGTCGCAAAGTCTTAGCTCTTTCCATAATATCAGCCCCTATTCTTTCTTCCTCCCTTCAACCCGTTATGGATTGTATTTTAGACTGATGGAAGTACTCAGATTTACAACCTAATCTGGAAGCTCTTGGTTTGGCCTCAAGGTCTGGTAAAATTCTCAGAGTGTTAACTCCAGGTAAGGGCCCCTTGGTTAAGTGGTTTCCTCTGACCTCACACTGGCCTTTCTGGCCCTTCTTAGAGGCCTGTAACACACTCCCTCCCCTGACCGGGAAGATTCCCTCAGGCTTCAGAAGGTCCTGCTCAGACCACCCTTATGATCAGCCCTTCTCCTGGCCTGGAGACTTCTAGGAGATCCCTTGCTTCCACACCCAGCCTCATCTAGTCCCCTGTGCCCTGAAAGCCTGTGACTTCATCCCCATAAGATAGAAAGCCTCATACCAGCTCACTCCAATGACCAAACCCATCTTCCCACCATTTCCTATTCCTAAACTCTTGTCCCTATCAGGAGAAGCGCTCGCCCACCCAGATCCTCTTTCTTGATTGAAAGAAGCTTCAGTTCTCTGCTCTTTGGCAGAGAAGAGGTAGCTGATACACGCTGAGCCCAACCGAATTATTAAGCTTTCTGACAAATAGTCCAACCCCCTTTCCCCAAATTCTTGATAACAACATTCCTCAGTTTCCCCTCAGAGGAGATGCTTTTCATTTTGCCATCATAACACTGTTGAAATTCCAAAAGAACTTATGCACATTTTTTTTTTAAAGGGAAAAAATTTGGGCGCCTGGGTGGCTCAGTTGGTTAAGTGACTGCCTTCGGCTCAGGTCATGATCCTGGAGTCCCGGGATCGAGTCCCATATGGGGCTCCTTGCTCAGCAGGGGGTCTGCTTCTCCCTCTGACCCTCCCCCCTCTCATGTGCTCTCTCTCTCTCTCATTCTCCCTCTCAAATAAATAAATAAAATCTTTTAAAAAAAATTTTAAGTTTTAAAAAAAAAAAAGGGAAAAAATTTTCAGCTGGGTAAAAGGAAGGTCATTGTCTCAGGTTTCCCCCTTCCAAGACTAGTAACTTTTCTCCCCAGTTCTCTAGGTACTGATTTTCCCGAAGCACAGCCTGGGTATTTCAGTGTCTTCTGTTCTCTGTTCTCTGTGTGTCTGCAATGAGGGTCTCAGGGCTTGAGCCAGCGAGGCCGGGCTTCCTCTGTTCTTAACAGCCACTGTGGCCTCTGCAAACTGCTGCCGGTAAAATCGACACACTTACTCAAAAGACGAGACTTGGCAGACAGCAGTCAAATCCCCACCACGCGGTTTTAAATAGCACACCTCGATTCTCAAACCCAGCTGCTCCCCATGATGCAGTTGGCAGCAGGAAGTTTGTTGTGACAAGGCTTCTCCCAGGTAAATACCTGAGGTTTCTAGCTTTGCAGAATAGAATCGGACCCACCCACGTTGCTCTCCCAACATCTACACGGAACACTGCTGCCTTCACAGTTTAAAGATACCTATTTATTTTATTTTATTTTATTTTATTTTATTTTATTTTATTTTATTTTATTTATTTCATTTCATTTCATTTCATTTCATTTTTTTGCTTTCAGACTTTAAACTGGAGATCTTAGTTTCTGATCTTTCGTGATCCCATTTAAGGTTTCCCATGTCACAGCCAGCCAGTGTTTACTACAAGGCTCAGGAAATCCCCTTCCCCACAGCCTCTAGCAGAAGGAATTGCTATGCTTCCCAAAAGACCGAAGAGGGGAGCTGGCCTTTGCATCTCAAGCTTTCCTGTGATGCCCATCATAGCCATGTAATGTCTTCTGACAGACCCAGCCGTCTTGCCCTGTGTCCTCGTTTTGGATGCTTGGCATCTTTCTTCACTGACTTTAAGCAAATGGGCCAAGATTGCAGGCTCTTGCCTGGTTATTTTCCTCTTCTTGTTGGTATCCTTGAGCTTCTGGCTCCTTTAGCCAACAGTCGAATGTGCTCCTGGTGAATGAGAGCCACTATTCTCCACCAGCATCTTGCGCTGGTGTCTGTGTGGCTGGGGCAAGGAAGACCTCATTATCTAATCCCTTTCTGAGACGTCAGTGCATCCTGCGGGCACCCGTTTGGTTTCTTAGTGATGAGGAGGTGAAACTGGAATTTCACCCATCTCCATGGGACCCCCAAATCCCTCTGGCCCACAGCCAATCAGCCCACCGACCAGCCTCCCATGGCCCCAGGTCGCTCCGTCCAGCTGCCCGTCTGGTTAAGTGATGATGAGCATACCTCCTCTTCTTTCGCCACCTCCTCTGTACCAAGTGTTCATTGGTGCTCCCTCGAGCAGGGGTGAGTTCGCTTTCCCTTGACACCCCCTGTGCTGTATTCGAGATGTCTCCTGTTCCCCAAATCGTAGTTACCTCTGTTAGCTGAACTTCCTGATACTGTTCCAACTTTCTCATGAACAAAAACCTCAGAGCCTCATGCCTCCATCACCGACTCGGCACACCCTGACAAGAGGCAGGTATCTCGTTCACTGTCTGAGAAGGAATGTTATGAAGAAGAAGAGAGTGAAGTCCTCAGTTATACCTAGTAATCCTGAATGTTTTCCTCCTGGTTCCCTGTCACATTCTACCCATTCCTCCGGGGATCTCTTGAGGATACGATTCTGCCTGTCTACCCAGGATGGGCTAGTTGCCTTACTTACACAGACTAATCACAGGGAAAGTTTTATCCCTTCATTAGGTTGACACAAGATTAGCATTTTCCAAGTGGATATTGAACGCAAAATTAAATTGCTAATAATAGCTGACATTGAGATTTTCCTATGTGCCATGCACTGTTCTAAGAGCTTTGTGTAATCTCACTTTATCATCAAAACAACACAATGAAGTAGGTATTATTATTAACATTCCCATTGGGGAAGCTAAGGTAGAGAGGAGTTAAATAACTTGCCCAACATCACATAGTTAGTGAGTGGCAGAGTTGGATAAACATTCAATAAATGGATTTGCACTGAAGTTACCCGCAGAGCTGCAGAGGCGAGTAGAAACGCAGTTTTCTGGGTTTCATGTCAAAGGCCTGAATCCTGGTGTGTGAACCTTGAATTTGAGAAGGCCAAGCCCAGTAGAAAAAGTGAGAGAGGTGGAGAAATCAGCGCCGGAGGATTCAACATGCATTTGCTGACCTGCTGTGTGCCCCACACTGTGCCTGGTTTTAAAAAGAAATCAAAATAAAAGTGAAGGACACTGTGCATGCCCTTGAGGGCCTTACATGTTTCCCGGAGGGGCAGGGGCATGAGCTAGTTTCTAGATCTCTGATTTTGCAAAGATGGGTCCATTTTCATTTATTTCAAGATAATGTATAGCTTTGGGGAAGCTACTATCCCGGAGGAGATGGATGGGTGGATGGATTGGCCAGGGCCACAAGCCCCAGGTGGCACCTTTGGCTGGAAGAATTTACTAGATTTTAAGCTTCAAAGAAACTCAGCATGGGGAGTGATGGGCTTTGTGCCAAATAGGAGCCAGATCAGGACTGAAATCCTGTGCCTGGGCAAGCAGGGGTGAATGGAGGCAACCAGCTGTCCTGGGGGGCTTTAAGGCAGGGTGGGTGGGAAGTAGGATGGAGAGAACAAAGGAGGTCTGGAAGAGGGGCAGTTGCAGAGAACTGGGGGTGGGGGCGCGGTCCTGAGTAGCCCAAGGCAAGTGCAATCCTTCCTGTGGGTGAGGGGCCCTTCAGGGGGAGGAGAGCTGGATACAGAGCCATTTCTCGGCCCTGGTTTCCTTTCTGATGAAGTATCAATTGTTAAGTATCGACCTTGGTAAGTACACCTGGGAAGTACATGTAGTTTTATAGATTACACATCAGATTGGAAAAGGCAGAGTATAACAGTCATTATTATTAATGATACGCATCGCTGAAACCATTAATATAAATTACAGGGAATTAGTGATAATATTAGGTATCTCAGACTCAGAGAATCTCAGGGCTGCCAGAGCTATTAGGAGCCATCCACTCTAGCCTCCCTCAATGGGTATTAGAATCTTCTGTTCAATATCCATGAAAACTGTTGTTAATCTTATTACAAGCAAGACTGTGCATGATGAATTTCAGAGTTCACCCCAGGCAGGAAGTGGCTCCCCATACTCCAATCAGATCAAGGCCTGATGGTTATGACTCCATATTCCTGGGGGCTCATGTGGAGCCATCATTCCTGCCTTCACAAGAAATCCAGAGGCCAGACAGAAAGCAGCTCTCAGAGTGCTGTGGCCAGAATCATGGTAGGAAACCAGGTACAGAGCCAGGACCTCGGCTGAGAATATCTCCGAGGGGGAGGATGCTGTTCCCTTTGCCAAATCAGTGTTGGTCTCCATGACATTGAGAAAAGGAAGGAGGCTGGAAAAGGGCAGAAAGCACATGGCAGCCTCTGCAGCCCCTGATGCTCCTTCATGTTCCGAAATCTACAGTCCCAGTAGCAGCAAGGAGGACCTGGAAAATCCCCTGGGCTCCCTCGCTTATCACTTTTCCAATCCTTGCTCACCCTTTAGTCTCGTTCCAGGTATGGCATAATAGCCAAAATCTAACAACGGGGCTCTGGAATGACCCAAATGCTTCCACCAAGCCCCCTACTGGTTTCCTCCATTTCTCTAGGTTAACAGACGTTTTCCCTTCTAGGCTGTAAATGCTCATGGGAAGACTCTGCCAGATGCCAGGTAAATCACCCAGTGACAGGCTGGCTTACTTGAGTTAGGAGTGAGCACTTCCCAAGGTGTGGTAGGAGGACCTGGGGCAGTCTATTGAGCAGCCGTCTCCACCTCTCCTTAATATCCTGATCCCTGTTAGCACAAACACCATCCACCTGCTTGAGGTGGGGAGATTCAAAGTGACTCCATTTAGTCTTTACTTCTGAATCATCACATAAGTCCCCAACTGGAATGAAGAAGGAATATTAGAGAAATGGCCCACCCCATCTGGTGCTACACAGCTGGGCAGGCCCCTAGGGTAGAGCTGACACTTCACAGCTGCTTAAGGGAAAAGTAAGGTGCAGCAGAACATATGGCAGGGGATAGGGTGACCCACACACAAAGAGCCTGGCTTCCATGATGAAGGTAAATGGAGATGAGTGTGGGTCACCCCAGAGGTCTGGGAAGAGGTGGAGTGGGCCTCCACAGTCATCAAGTAAAGGGGCCCAATTCTTCCTTGATCATCAAAGTTTTTGTGCAGTTCTGACGAGACTCTCTCTTCTGAGGAATCTTGCGAACAGTTTTAGGTTAGTTCAGCCTTGACCAATATTATTAAGGAAGCAGAGGTTGGGACTTCTCTGGGATTTTTTCTCTTGAGCCCTAGGGCCTTCCATCTCCCCTGAGGTATGGAAAACAGGGAATGGGGGTTTGTGTCAGGCATAAGAAAACAAGATACTCTTGCCTGAGCCCCTCTGCCTCTGTTTGGGGTAGAAAACAAGATGGAGCAGGCTGAGGCAAGAGTATCGGATTCTAGGGGTGGTTAACTGGGCTTTCTTCCCTACGCCCAGCCTTGTCTGCAGAGTTAGAGGGGGGTGGTGAGAAAGCTAAGTGGGGACGTTTAGTCAAAAGCAGGGCTGGAGAGCTTGTACAGCATCCCCTGTTCCAGGTAAATCCTTTCACATGGATTATCATTCCTTCCATTCCTTACCTAACAACTTGGATTTACATACCAGGGCTTTCCCCATTTTACAGATTTTCCAACCTGAGAATGCAAGTTGTTTGTTTTTTCCAAGTTCTTACAGAGTTTATGGAGCAGAAGAGGGTCTCAAATGAAACCTTCAGACCCCAGAACATGTGTTCCCATCACTCCCACCCCCACCCCCACACACACTCAGCCATTACAGTGATGGCTGCCTGCTACAGCAAAATAGAAGTGAGGCCCAGAAGGCAATAAGAGGAAGGAAAAAAAATATCCACATGGCAGG